TGCACAAAAATAGCTCTGAGTTTAATATGCAGCTACATTGAAAATGGCTATTCTTTACTGTTTTGCATTTTCCCTGGACAGCGGGGGTCAGATGTGTGTTATTCTTGTCTCCCGAAAGTTGTATGAAAATATACCTTCAAGAAAAAAATGGGGAAATGTTTTTCTATAATTTAATTCCCTACGTCAAGTCAAATTTCCAGAGTACTCACGCCTTTTAGTTTGGATTCAACTTCCCTGCAACGTTTCTAACCTGCTTTGTGCTTTGAGAAATTTAAGCACATTGACTTTTCAAATTACTTGTTGAAATTCATTTAAATCAATACAACCAAGTTTATTTATTTATTTATTTATTTATTTTTTACTTTATGCTTCAGAAGTTTCATCTCGGTAGGAAATATGTTCACTCATAAATTATGTCAAATATTTGAAACCTATTCATGGAAATTATACAGAAACACATTAAGCTGTATTGGAACTAGATTTATAAACATGCGTGTTTTCTTTGTGACCCCGTTTTTTACCCTGACACACCTTTGAGTAATGCATTTCTCACCTTTTTAAGACTGTTTGGAACAATAAAGTATCTCAAAAGTTCCCAGGGAAATTAACTGAAATTTACCCAAGATCTATTAAAATATCAAAAGAGTAATTTTATTAGAAAAAAATCATGTCTTACATTTCAAGATGACACTACCTTGTTAAGTAATATAATATGATCTAGGATGTATTTTCCTAAGTAACCCTACCCATAAACTACTTTTTTAAATAGTGTTTTTAGAAAAAAAAAAGTTGAGTCTTAAGGAAAATACTCAGGTCTATCTTATGCCTTGAGAGAATTTTTAAGGTTATTATTGGTGAAGTCTTTTTAGGAAAAACTCATCCTCAGGGTGATTTATATCCCCCTTCTGCTTCTCCAGAATTAATGTGCATTACTTAATTTCTTCACATGTGTCTCACTCAATAGGCACATAAGATCAGAGACTAGCTAGACATGATATGTGGAAAGCTATTTTGTGGGCTTTCTGAGCCTTTTAAAAGTATTCTCATTTTTTCTGTTTTGGTAAGAATATTAAAGTTATTTCCTTTGCAATTTTAGGTGGTTTTTTAAAAGTTATGGCTTTTGATGACAGCCTGACTAGCCGGTGCAGAGATGGGGATAGAGGAGAGTGAATCCTTTGGGGTCCACACAGCACCCCCAGGCTGGGCCGGGTTCACTGTGACTGCTGGTGGACATCGCAAGGTCCACTGCGTGCATTGGTTCGGGGCTCTCCAGAGATCTGTTTCTGGGTCCTGCCTAGCCCTGGTGCTCATCAGAGTTTCCCTCAAGGTGACCTGGCCTTCAGAGCCCCCAGGGAGCTCAAGGTCCTGTTTAATGTCCTCTGGTGAGCGCCTGCATCCCGGGAGGGTGGGGAGGAGGGCGCCTGCCACCCTCCGCTCCGTCTCTCTCCTGGGTGGGTGTCAGAATGCAGGTCAGTCTGCATCAGTGCCTAGTCAGATTAAATTGCTTTTTAACAACAATAACAACAACAATGAAACAACCCGCTTCAATGATTCATCAAATTTTTTAAAAAGAACACTTTGTGTCCTCAAAGTGGCTGGTCTCATTCTAGAAAGAGTATCTCAGTCTTTCTGCTGAGACACAAACATTAATTTGAAGGTAGGCAGGTATTGTGTAATAAAAGACTTTTCATAAAACTTCAGACACTGAAATGTTTTTTTTTTTTTTTTAAAGACAGAATTCACCCAACACGGAACAAAAGTTAACTGGCAAAAAACAAAGATGACGCTAAGCTGACACTTTTTTTTTTTTTTTTTTTTTTTTTTGTCTTTTTGAGGCAGGGTCTCCTGTGCAGTGCAGGCCGGCCTTGAGCTCACTGTGTAGCCCAGGCTGGTCTCGGACTCGCAGTGATCCTCCTGCCTCAGCCTCCCAGTGCTGGGATGACCAGGCGTGAGCCACCACGCCCGGCTTAAATTGAGACTTTTCTAAGAAACCAGTTTAATATTGGCTGAATAGAAGGCTTCGTCCTCTGTCTAGTTGGACTTGTCCTTCCACATAAGAAATACATTTTTACAAAAACACTGAGTCAGAAAGGAGAGAAAATATTTTGAGAAATCTCCCAAAACTTGACCTTTTGTCTACTGTGCTGACATTATTATAATTTTAGTGTAATGTTACTCCGTTTATTTCAAGATGCAGATGACCGTGTAATTTATTATTATATTATATATAATATATTATCATTATCTTCCCAACATCCAATAAAAAAAGTTACTAACAGCAGAAGTTATTAGCAGCAAACGGTGTTGAACATAATTTTGAAGTAGGAGCTGCCGTTTAAACTTCAGGAAAAAACACCTGAATGCTTTCCACAGATTTGTGCAGATGTGTGCACGGGTGTGCTCTTATGCAAGTAAGTCTACACACACATCCACTCTAATGTTACATACATTAACACACTGGATATATTTTAATTTACTGACAAAGAAAATGAAACCAGTGGAGCTTTGGAAAACTGAGATAGTTTTGGTTGTGACAGCATATTAGCGCCAGGTGTGTGGCACACGCTTGTAATCCCAGCAGCCGGGAGGCTGAGGCAGGAGGATCGCGGCAAGTTCAAAGCCAGCCTGGGCTAGAGAGTCAGTCAGTTCAAGGCCACCTCCCTCCCCTACCTACAAGACCCCGTCCAAAGAACAAAAACCAAAGCAAAAAGAGCCTGTTCGGAGCCATCAGATGGTCTCTAAAATTAGCTGACGTGCATGGATGCTGTCTACACTGAGACCTTGGCTATTTAAATTACAGAGGTTATTGTGTCTGCGTACATTTGATTAAAAGTTGAACAAATATCGAGGAAAGGTTTTATTTTGGCATGAATTCAGTCAACGTCTTCCAGACAGCAGTTTATTATTTACTGCTGCCTTGTCATAATATCCTATTTTTTAAGTTTATTTACTTAATTTTAAGAATGGCATATGAGTTTTTGAGGTGCCTGGAGTTTCAAACTATATCTATGGTTTAAAGACAGCAGTATGCATCTCACAGCTGCAATCTATCCCAAAATGTCTTAAGATATGAATAAGTTACATAGCTGAGCCCTGGGTAAGACACAAGTATAAAATGATACATTGTTTGGTAGAAAGCTCCCTGGAGATTATGGGGTGGCCCAGCGGCTCCTACAGAAGAAGGCCGGGCTCTTTATGTCCAAAGACTGCAATCAGCTGGCCACTGTCACCTCTGAGCTCGGTCTTTAAAACCTCAGCGTCTGCCCAGCTACTGCTGTGACAGCCAGCCTATGTGGCAACCCCAATTTCTACCTCCCTTTAAGAAGCAGCTCCCCAGCCCAGGCAACTTAGCAAGGTGCCTCCACTTCCCACGTTTTTGAGACAACTAAGCACTATCCAGACATCCTGCATTTTAAACCTAATTTTATAAAGCATTGTCGTATTTTGACAATACAGAATATCACCCACTGGTTATACTTTTGGGGCTCATGAACCCCGCCATTTTCCTAGAGAAGACTCATTTGGTAACACCAGGATTTAAAACTTGCAGTAAAAATGCCAAACACTGTAATACCTTGCAACTTTTCTCAGACTAACCAGAACGATGAAAGAACTAAACTGTCCAGGGAGAGAATTTGCGGATTACCTGGCTATCCCTTTGGCTCTTTTTCCAGCCTTCGTTTTAACTTTGTGGTAGTGATAGCCTGTGTCTTTTGGTCACCCAGGCTGAGGTGACAATGAAATTTTGAAGTTTCTTCTAAAGAATCCTTCAAGGGCTGGGGATCAACTCAGCAGCACAGTGCCTGCCTGGCAAGCGTAAGGTCCTGAGTTCGATTCCCGGTACCAAAAAAAAAAAAAAAAAGAACTCTTCAAGGGTTAACATTTAAAATCATACTTCATAGGTGACAAAGAAAAGCTTAAATTTTTGAGGAAAATATATACGTAATACCAATGATGCATATATAATAATTTGTGTCACGATGAGAATCAGCGGGGGGGGGGGGAGCTGAAGGCTGCTTCTGCAGTGTAAGTCAAAATTTGACTTGGAAATGTGGCTTCCTTAATGTGTGGTCCACTAATGTTATTCACTGCACTGTTCAATAGTTTACTGATGTTTTTGCCTCTCTGCTGATGACTTTTGTTTAATTTTATTTAAAGAGAAAAAATCAAAACACGAAAAAGGGTAGCAACAATACAGAATTTCAAACAAAACAGAAATCTGTAGGGAGCGGTTTTAAATAGCTGCTGCTGCCCTGCCCCTCCTGCCTGAGGGCATTTTGTGTGTCAACCTACATTTCCCATGATCCTCCCCTTGCCTGCTATGCACATGACAAGCAAACTTCCTGGTTCAGCCTGCCTACATTACCCATAATCCTCTTCTGCTTACATCATATAACCAAATGTGACGATGACCTATCAGATTAAGCCTTCTTCCTGCCTATGGCCCGCCCCCCACCCTATATAAGTTGTAGCCATTTTAAAAATAAACGAGACTCGATTGGAATCTCATCCTGTCTCCATCTCTCTTTTCTCTTGTCCTGCCCCCATCCCCGATCCCCTCTCCAGGTTGAGACCCATAGATTGGTCCGCAGGCCGGATCAGAAATCACTAGTTGATAAATCACACATAGTTATCTTAGAGGTAATTGTTCAAGGTACAAAGTTAAAGCTTAAAAAATAGACTTTGAAACAGCGAGACTGTAAACAGTTTTGTTCAACGATCCAACAAAAACCTAATAATATGGTTCTCAATCCTACACACTTAAACATACATGCACTTATATCCTTTAGAGCACTTTCTTTTCCTCATTTTTTTTTACAATAGCAATTATACATTTTGGGATTTATTACTCCTACATTTCTTATTACTTTTTACACTAGAGACACAATGTGATATTTATAAATACGATTATTTATCTCACTAATGAGGATAGTCTCAAGTTGCCTCCATTTACCTATGAAGGCCTCAAGATCATCCTTTTTATAGCTGAGTAATATTCCAAAAATATGGACCGCTTCACGAATTTGTGTTTTGTCCTTGTGCAGGGGCCAGGCTAATCTTCTCTGTGTTGTTCCAATTTTAATATGTGTGCCGCGGAAGCGAGCAGCTGCTGATGAATTGTAAGTTACAGTAATTGTCCATCAGCTCTGATCTAAAACTGAAACAATACTGAACTAAGCTCGATGCTATTTAATGAAGCAGAGAATCGCAGAGACACAGCTCCGCGTGAAAGCCCTGGGTTTCATCTGCACCAAAAACTGCCTCATGGTTGTGGAGAAAGGAAAAGACAAACTAGTTCAGTAATTTAAGCCTCCTGGGAGAATGACTGCATGTAGGTAGCAACCGCACAAATGGACCCCACAAGAAGGTGACCCCACGACACGCAGGAAGATGCCTGTAAACGAACTGAACACCTGGATCCTGAAGCATCGGCTCATCGAACCGGGAATTCCACCTCTCGGACCCAGTCCTGTCATGGAAAGGCATGAAAAGACCTAGAGATACAGCTGTCAGCTGCCGGCTCGGTTCTGACGACGGCAGCGGGGAAGAAATAACCCCTCAAGGGAGATCGCTGGGTCACCAAAGGAAGCCAGTGATGGGGGACAGCGGGGTCCTCCAAACACCAGAGGGAAACGTGGGTGAATCAAGGGCCCACTTTAGAACGGCTCTGCAGGATATTACAGCTAGTTCCTAACTCACTCTTGGGAAGGTGTCATTGAAAAACGGAAAGTCAGTCAGTAATAAAAATAATTTCTCATGTAGAATAAAATGTGTGTGTGTGTGTGTGTGTGTGTGTTTGAGGGATTTAACTTAGGGTCTCTGCACTGGGCTACGTCCCCAGCCCTTTACTATTATTATTATTATTATTATTATTATTATTATTATTTTAAGACAGGGTTCTGTTAAGTCTCTTAACTTGTCAGGCCAAGCCTGAACGCGAGACCTGCCTGCCTCTGCCTCCCAGAGTGTGGGTCACAAGCATTCACCACCGCTGTTCTATAACAGATCACATCTTATTTGCTTGCTTCATCCAAAAAATTAAATAGAGGAAAAAGGCAGAGAAAAAAGCCAAAAGGAAAGAGGGAAGAAAGTCTGTAGAGAATCTTTTGGGAATGATCTGGAAATGAATTAAGTGAGGGGGAAAATCCACAAGATAAAAGCATGCACAATTGTGTCCTCCGTCCCCGCCATGCAAAAACACCAAAACCAAGTGGAGAGAGCCGTGCACACGGGTAAACTGTTTCCAGCAGCCACGCGGGGCGCCGGGAGCTGGCCTGCCCTGAAGGACACGGGCAGCACCAGGGAGCACTTTCTGCTGTTTCATTGTGAGTCACCGGAAAGAACTACCCCACGATCAGAGCTGAAGAGCAGGCCTGAGTCTGAGCCCTGCGGCTCCGGCCGCGGTCCTGCAGGCCCAGCTGGTCAGTGCCCCAGAGCCCCGGCCTTCCCGGGGAGCAGGGCCCCCCGAGGCTGCAGACCCCCACAAGGGCTCCCGCCTGCCTGCAGCAGCACCCCCAGCACCCCCCAGCTGCACCCCGTCCCTGCCCCGCCGCGCCCCACGTCCTCCTCCCTGGCTCTGTGGCCCTGAGGACCTGAGGGCCCCCTGGGAGCGGGGCCCTGCCGTGTGTGAGCCTCAGTGTCCGGCTCCAGCCCTGAGCACGGTGCCCTGCAGCCCATCGAGACGATCTCCTTTCACAGCTGAGCAATATTCCACAGTGTTAGACCGTCTGTGTGCTGGCTGCCGTGTGGCCCAGAAGGCTGCCGTGCACACGTACACACAGGAAAGGAAATTTCTCACCCGTGTCTTTTGACACTATTTAGCATGTCACGGAGATCCCCTTTTTAAGAGGATGTGATGCACATTTTCTTCCTTAAAATTCCAGGTGATTTCCCGATGCCAGGGATGGGTTCTGATTCTTGTACCTTGTACCGGTACATTTTGCTCCAACTGTTCAGTGTAACACAGAAGACGCATGAAATGCCTCAAACCTCAAAAAAAAAAAAAAAAGCCACTGATTTATCTCAGTGACCTGAGGCTGATGTTCCTAAAGTCGTGGTCCTCAAGATACAAAACTGTCCCCTCTCTTCCATGCCAGGAGACCTCGACACATCTCACGACCTTCTTGAAAGATATAAACTAAGACAGCATCTTGATTTAAAATTTTTATTTCTAATTATTTAGCAAAACATTCCCTTGGACTTTTGAAAGAATTTTTAAAAGTCTCCCACGGATATCTGATAAACTTTAAGTTTCACTAAACAAAAACTTTAATGATAGTCGCTTTCAAGGGAATGGTTACTTCACATAGTTTTTTCTTCTTTCAATCACCTCTTACTAGTATGTTTCAGTTCTATGCAATGACCACATTGACTATAGAGAATTTGGATGGATGCATGATGTAACTTAATTATTTTTCCCATTCCTTTCTCCTCCGACCTCTCCTCCACTCACCATTTATTGAAGCTTCATTTCTATTTTCCTTTGAGAAACACAGCAGTATTTACACTTGTGTGTCTGACTGATTTCACTTAGAGTGTCATCTCAGTGTGCATGCATTTACCTATAAAGGTCTCAAGCTCATCCTTCTTTATGGCAGGGTAGTACTCCGTGGTATAAAAACCACGCCTCCTTTATCCATTCACTAGTTGGTGGATATTTGGGTTGTTTCCAAGACTGAGTCATTGCAAACTGAGCCACTATAAACCTGGGTCTCCATACACCGCTGTGGCGTGATGCTTTTAATTCTTTCAGGAAGGTATTCAGAAGGGGAATCGTCGGGTCAGATGGGAACCCTAGTCCTAGTTTTTGAGGAGTCCCCACACTGACCGCCACTGTGGTCGCACCAGTCTGTGCTCCCGCCACAGTGGAGAAGGCTCCTTTTCCCCACAGCCCCGCCAGGCAGCGTTTGTTATTGGCTGATTTGCTGATAACAGCCGTTCTTTCTGAGGCGAGATGGGATCTCAGTGTTGTTTTAATTTGTAACTCCTAAAAGACCAGCACTGTTGAAAATCCTTAATATACTTATTTGCTGTTTATACAAGAAGTGTGCATTCCACACATACGCCCTCCTTTAGTTTGAGTCTTTCAATGGGGGGGGGTCGATTGTTTAACCCTTTACGTGTTCTCCATGGTTTACTTGTCTGACAGCAGCCAGCAAACCTTTTCCCCGCTCTGTGAGCTCTGTCTCACCCTGTGGGTAGGAGCACAATCTCAAGTCCGCGACTCTGATGCCCTCTGTCTTGCCCGTGTTGCCCAGATTTGCCTTTGCTATTCTGGATCTCTTCTGATGCGAAGTGGATCTGAGGATGGTGTTATCTAATTCCGTGAGATCTGCTGCCGGACTCATGGCAGGGCTCGCATTAAACCTGAAGACGGTCTGGAAGTCTGGCTAGTTTCACTTTATTGGCTCTTCCTACCCAAGAGAAGGAGCATCTTTCCACTTTCTGATCTAGTTTTCAGGGTAGAGGTATTTGACTTCCTTCATTAAATTGATTCCTGATGTGTCTTTTTCATGCTATTGTGAAAGGTGTTATTTTTCTAATATCTGTCTCAGCTTGTTGTTTGTACACAGGGTGGCTACTGATTTTTTGAGTCTTGAATTTGTAAACAGCTACATGACTGAATTTGTTTATTAAATCTAGAAGTCTTTTGTGGAGTTTTGGGGTCTTCCATGTAGAGTATCATAATTGCTCTGACTGAAGTTTCCAGAACTATATTAAGTAACCAGTGACAGTGGACTCCTTGCCTTGTTTTTGAGAGAAAGCTCTCAGTATTTGACCTCTCGCTGTGATGCTGGCTGTCGGTCTGTCACAGATAGCCTTTATCGGATGGACGTAAAGACCATGTATTCCAATTTTCTGTGGGGTTTTTTTTTACCATGAATGGGTGTTGGACTTCGCCAAATGTTTTTTCTGTATTTATTGAGACGATCACATGGTTTTTGGCCTTGGTTCTGTTAAAATGGCGTTACATTTATTGATTTACGTATGTGAAATATCCCTGCATCCCTGGGATGAATCCAACTAGGTCACGGTGTATAATCTTCTTGATAATGTGCTGCATTCTGCTGGCCGGTGTCTTATTGAGGATCTTTGCATCTGTGTTCCTTAGGGAGACTGGCCTGCAATCCTCTTTTTCGGTCGGGTCTTTCTCTGGTTTTGGTATCAGGGTAATACTTGCTTCCAGGAATGAGTGAGGGAGAATTGCTTCCCTTTCCATTTCATTGAAGAGTTTCAGAATTCATGGCATTTACTAAATTTACTGTATAATTCAGCAGTGAATCCATCTGTGCTGGCAGGTTTTTCATTACATTTTCAATGGCATTGATCAGTGTTGGTTTATTTAGGATTTTTATATCTTCTTAATTCAGCTTTGGTAATGGATCTGTATCTAGGAATCGGTCCATTTCATCTACATTTTCCATCTTATTAGAATGCAAGTTCTCAAAGGTAGTTATAGATGATCTTCTGCATCTCTGCAGGGTCTGTTGTGATGTCACCCTTTGCATTCTTAATTGCATGAATCAGGTTTTCTTTCCTTTTTTGGTAAGGCTGACTCAGGGTTCATTTTCACTTAATCTTTCAAGAACCAACTCTTCAGTGCATCGATTCTTTGTACTGGTTCCTTGGCCCCCTTTGCATTAATTTCTCCTCTGATCTTTACAACTTCCTCCCCTGTGGGACCTTGAGCTTGGCCTGCTCTTCGTCTTCTAGAAGTTGAGGTTAAGCCTAAAGTTGTTTATTTAAGCTCTTTCTGCGCTCCTGAGACGGTGTTCACTGATACAAATCTCCCTGTTCAGACCACTTCCGCCGTGTCCATCACTTCCAGTGTGTGCTGGTGTCATCATCATCTTACTGTAGAAACTGCCTGGTTTCTTTTATGATTTCACCTCTGATCCATCGGGGGCTCAGGAGGTTGTTAATTATTTCCCATGTGTTTATGAAGTTCTCTGGGTTTCTTTGGCCATGGATTTCCAAGATCCTTGCACTGTGGCCTGACAATATGCATGGGTCAACTTCAATTCTTTGGCATTGATTTAAGCATGTTCTATGAGCTGAAATGTGGTCTGTTTCGGAGAATATTCCACGTGCAGCTGAGAAGAATGT